TCGTTTTACTTGGACCATGAAGTACATCTACTGCTGAAACATTGAAGGTGCTAAACACCCTAATTCCGGCGGTTTCAATTTAATTTTGAGGTTTTAAGAATTAAGATTATTTCGCAATTTTCTCGACCTAAAATAGGTAGCTTCCTGTTTTTTGGGCGTGTTCGAATTCTGTGAACCCGAACGCCCACTCTATTACAACCCTTGAAAACTTGCTGATGCATCCTACGAATGTTTAATTTCGGTTTACGTCACCTTCCGATTCAATAAGAAAAAACTCCCTGAGATGACCTGCGTATATTACTAATCGGTACATAAAATTATTCTCTGAATCATTTTCTTGTTGCAGCATGTGCGCAAAGTTGTAGGCCAAGCCACGACAATTCAAGACTCTACAAGGCAGGATACAAGGTAAGATAGGTAGAATAACAAAAGACATTCAGGTGACTGTACATGAACCAGCAACTCAAAGTTTCATTGGATTAGCTAAAAATGAGAAAAGCCATTTAACCATAGTGGTCACACGAATCAATCACTTTCACTACTACGTTCGCTGTTTTGCAGTATATTCCTGATATCCAAGATTAATTTAAGCCTTTCTCCGAAAGACTTTGACTGAGCAAATTCAGAATTGGATGTCGCCACTAGGCTGGTTGTCATTCAGAATGATGGCTCGAACTTTTGTATTTATCGCGGGCCTGTAAGCCAGCTGGTGTAATTTCGTGACTTTGCTACATGAGGAAATATGACTTATTTGTATTTTGTTTCCTTTTGTTCAATCGAAATGCTCACTGTCTCGGTGAGATGTTCTGCTCCTGGCCTTTTCTACCGGCTTCCCTCAAAGGTCTCACATTTTATCTAGTTCGAGATGTGTTCGCCGCAATTTTAATAATGTAGGTAAATTCTACGGATATTCTCCACGGTCACTGTATATAAGATATTTCTTGCAAAGGTCACAAATGCCCTCCAATTTACAACTATTAATCTTTCCTTCTCAGAATGGTTTAGGCCTCAAAAAAATTTCTCAATACAAAATCTTGTTCTTATTTGATTGCTGTATGCACAAACAGATGAAAAGATAAAAGCAGCATGAATGCCTCTTACCGAACTCACGTAAATTGCCCAACGTACGGTTTCAACTTGAGGAACTACTGAAGTTAAAAATGTCACAGTGATAACTGACACCATTTTTCAGTTTTTAATGATTTGTTACGCAAGTACGCAGCAACCAAAACCAGAAAACTTAATTTGTTTGCGACCCTACAAAAACAATCTTCCGGATAACCCGTGTGTCGTGCCATTGCCGAATTAGGCAAACCACAAAATCATCAATTGTACACGGAAAATAAAATTGCTTTAAACTTCAGCTGACATAGAAGCTTAAAGGTCAAATGATTTTCAGACAATATCGAAATCTCACCTATTTTAAGTTCTCTTGTCTGGTCTATTTATGTTGCATGACTTAACCCAGATAGACTTAAACATTTAGGCTCAACTGCTTCATACATTTGCCTCTAAACACATACAACCTGTTTAGTTGAAACACTGTATAGCGATTCGCTTGCGGTTATGATCATATACCCCGGCTTATTGCCTTCACGTTGTCCTGAAGCGTGTTAGATCTTAATTAGAAGGCCATTATCATTGTAGATTCTGAGCTTTTTGTTCCCTTTTCTAAAGACAAAAGGAATCGCAAACTGTGCGCGATCTATCCGACGCTTATGACTCTGCTCTAACGATGAAATACCTCAAGGAGCTTCCTCTCTTTCTAGCGGAAAGGGAGCCGTCGTCCATCGATACTAGAAATTTAGCAAGAAGACGGGAACGTCATTTCAGAACGAAAGAGCGCCCGTCGCAATCAAAACGCCTAGGATTTGCATCAATTGCGCACTTGTAAACGAGATAATGCTGTTTGAAATGATTTAAGAAATCATTTGCAGGATAACCTGTTCCCTATATTTGTTTTATTCCATGTATTTGGGAAAATTTACCGCTACATTTTCCGCTGGATTCCCGAAAGGAAATCAAACACTATCGTTAGCAAGCGATCCAAGATTTCAGGACTCAGTTCGCTTTTATTTAAGCAAGGCTTTCAACAATTTAAGGGCCTTTCTTTGATACATTTCTTTAACCCAATATGAAAACTCTCAGAAGGGGGTGCTGTTGATTTTCATCGTGAATTCGTCTATCAATAAACTTGCTTAATGTTGAAGTTTATCGAAATAAAATATCCGCGAAGCTTACCTACTGTGTTACTGCGATTTTAATCGCTGATCGCGGCGAACTTGATCGTCAGTTTGAATCGCACGTGATCTGCGCCACCGATCGATGCGGACACACTTGACGATATATTTTCAATTTCGTAGTGATTTCTTGAGAGGCAGCACTTTCTTCGTGCGATTATTGTAGTCGCTTGACGTTACATCATATACTCACGCGAAATGGTGGCGAATATAATTGCCGATAACAGAGATCGGCGACAATCGCTATCACTGCAGCGGGCACACCTGGCGATTTGGCCTGTTGCCGCGATCGGCGCATAAAACCGCTTAGTGTGTCACCAGCTTAAATTAAGCTCTGATGGGTAATACTGCGTGACAGAAAGGTTTTCGTTTCTTTGTGTGGTTTGTTTCTGTTTTTCTTACTCTTAGTGGATTGCAGGAGTTTATGAGTGCAAGCTAAAATTTCTCCGTCGGCTTCAAGTTCATCAGAACATAGATTAATTTTTCATCTTTAAACCCTCACCCTTGTTACTTCGATGCAATTATTCAAACACCAAGCGAAAACGACATCTAAATCACCAGCGTAGCGCTGAAAGAAAGCGCATTCTTCGTTTGATTACGATGTACAGCAGGAATTCACAGCGCGTAACTCATTTCAAATTGGCCAATCAGCTTTTGCAACCGACAACGACTTGGACGCTTACACACCTTAGCAGACCAAATGGGAAATTAGCACCCACTCTCCATTAGGTGTCCCCTCCTCTCCTAATATCTTTTCTGGCTAAAATGGGCAAAAGGAAACCTTCTCGTCTCATTATTTGTGGGCTGCAGCCATGATCAACGCCCGCTAATCAAGCACCTTTTCTTTTAAGGAGGATACTACCTATAAGCCGAAAACCTTTATTATTTATATGATTATATTTAATGAAATAGGGGTCTTACCAGCTGATATACGTGCGGACATCCTATCAATTAATGAATTGTAATGCCGCATTGTCGCTCACTGTTTCAGATCTTACTCACGTTTGTTCTTCTGACCAACCCATTTGTTGCCAATAAAGCAGCTGCTTTTGAGCTCACTTGATTCAAAATGACTTTCTTTTTCAGCACGACCCCCAAGCTCTGAATTGAACATCTCAAGAAGGTTTAGTTTTGAGATTTA